TTCCACTGGACTCGTAAAGTGTCTTTACAACTTAGTATGAAGAATGTCCACTGGAATAATTTCGAGATAATCACCAAATCATCATTTGCTCTCAGGGTACCAACTTTTACTAGAGAGTTTCAAAACACTGAAATTAAAGGCCATCTCCTATAAAGTTTTCTTTTCTTTCTTTTACTTTAAAGACACAATGACAACACTCTTTTAAATTGGTACTTTTTTTTTTGTCCCTTTTAGAATTTGCTCCTCACAATAAATGGTATGGTTTCCTTAGAAACTGTTTGGATGCAGTGAGTGACAAGTTTAGCCCTTCCTCCAAAGACAAGCTTCCTCTGCCCAGATTAGGCACTGAGCAAAATCATCCCCATCAAACCATAGGGAGAAAACAGAAGAAAAACTGACCCTTAAGTCATTTGTGTTCCTCAAGTGTTGGCCAAGAATATGGAGAAATTGGAACTCCTTTCACTATTCGTGGGATTGTAAAATGGTGCAACCTCTAAGGAAGACAGTCTGGAGCTTCCTCAAAGAATTAAAAATAGAATTATACCACGATTCATATATTCCACTCCTGGATATCTAGCCACAGTAAGAAGCAGGATTTAGAAGGGATATTTTCATGTGCATGTTCTTAGCAGCACTATTCACAATAGCCAACAGTTTGAAGCAACCCAAATGTCCATTAACAGACGAATGGATAAACAAAGTTTGGTATATACATACAATAGAATAATTCAGCCTTACAAAGGAAGGAAATTCTGTCACATGCTATAGATGGTTGAACCTTGAGAACATTATGCTAAATGAAATAAGTCAGTCACAAAAAGACAAATACCATATGATTCCACTTATTTGAAGACCTAGAGTATTCAAAGTCATAGACATAGATGGGCAGCCCCGGTGGCACAGAGGTTTAGCGCCGCCTGTAGCCCAGGGCGTGATCCTGGAGACCCTGGATCGAGTCCCATGTCAGGCTCTCTGTATGATGCTTCCTGCTTCTTCCTCTGCCTGTGTCTCTGCCTCTCTCTGTCCCTGTGAATAAATAAATAAAATCTTTAAAAAAAATAAAAATAAATTAAAAAAACAAAGTCATAGACATAGAAAGTAAAATGGTGACTACCAGCGGCTGGAATATAATGGGGAAAGGGAGTTATTGTTTGATCACTATAGACTTCCATATTCACAAGATAGAAAAGTTCTAGAGATCTGTTCCACAACAATATGCTTAACACTGCTGAACTGTACACTTAAAAATGGTAAAGATGGTAAATTTTATGTTATGTGTTATTTACCACAATAAGATAATTTTTTAAAGAAAGATATAGACTTGGGTTCCTGCCTGACCCTGACCCTTTGGACTTTGTAAATTTGGAAAGTTATTTAACCTCTCAACTTGTCTCCTTACCTTACTTAGATTTTATAGTTACTATAAATTTAAGTAGGATAATGTATGTGAATGTTTTTCATAAACCAGATGGTGCTACAATGATGGAAACCATTTTTATCAGAGAGGTAAAGATTGAGAATTACCTCTAGAAAATAGCTTGTCACTAAGCATTGCATCCCAAGTAGGTATACAGTTATCCTAAAACTGAAGTGGGGCGGCTGTGAGAAGGGAGAGCAGAACTGACCATCAGGCATACACCAAAGTGCAACCTCCAAGAGAGGGAATTCGCTATGGCTTGCTGAATCATGAGCAGCGTGATAGCAATAGTATTGCTCTTTCCAAGAAGTTTCAGGAAACCTAGCAGTGGAAGAGGCTGCCAGCCAGTTCTGCAGATAACAGCTGAGACTGCAAACTAAAGAACTGTGTCATGGGTACCTAGCATAGGAAGGACTCTTGACTAGAGACCAGCCTTAGTGAACAGAGCTGGGGCATACATAAAACCATAAATTTCCCTTTCCATTTGAATGTAGAGTTTATGAATGTCAGTTGGCTGACTTGTTCATGTTTTAAAATTTGACAATTCTCAATAGAAGCTTTGAACATTTCAGTTTTAGTTTTTTTTGGGGGGGTTGGAAGAAACAGAAGTTCACTCGAGCAAATTCACAAAATGAGGTGTACATTTTTACAAAAACATAATGGAAAAATAAAGGAGGCCTGTAACTCTAAGAATAGCAGTCATGAAAAAGTACATTTGGATTCAGAGCTGTCATTTGTCCATCTTCAGTCAGCTGTTGCCCATAAATGTAACTTAGCTACATTCTGTTTTCTGCTTCTTTCTAACCTGACTACCATTCTTTCTATGTTTCTTAGTTCAGATTTGAAAGTTCATTTTTTCAAGCCAGGCCACAGTCATGGGGCCAGGGATCAGATGAGTATCTTAGGTTAGCTTTGACTGGTGGGCAGGGAGAGGGTGATTGGAAATGGGGTCAAGGTTGAGTAGCAAAATGCATGCCAATTTCAAAGGCAGAAACTGTGAGCAGAGCAGTTTTCCTTAGAAAGGATTATGGTATATTAGGCAATGATTAACGTTGGAACCTTTAAAGGATCCAGGAATCTTTCCTGCCTGGATTCTGAGCAGACTGAGATATAAAACAAGAGTTAGGCAAACGAGAGGTTAAACATTACTTTTATTTCTGATAAAGGCTAAACTGAGAGATGTAGCTTCATATTAAAACAGAGGAGGTCTGCTAGCTGAACCCCAGAATTATGTAGACAATCCTCATTCAGTCACAGAGATTACTAGGGCAAGCAACACACCACATATAGGGTGGCTTTCTAGGTAAGACTCATGATACATAAGAGCAGAGTATCCTGCTTCCCTTAGACAGCTGTTCCCAAGGGGAAAAAAAGAAGAGCTAAGTCAAGCATGCCCAGTTTCTTCTTCCCAAATTTCCCAATCATATTAGTCAGTCATTCCACCTTCCCTGGGGCAGAGTGGGTAAAGGACTAGAGAGGCCAGGAGTGCTTCAATAAGTAAGCTCCCTTCACAAGGAAGGTAACACCAGGGGAAGGGAGATATCCTACCCCCACCCCCTATAATTGGCATCTCTATGACAATGAGAACAGTGATCAGTTTGAACAAAAGAATAAATACAAGTGCAAATTATCACTTTCTAGACTTAATAAACACAGTGATAGTTTAAAAGACTTAATGAGTTAAGAATGCATCAGTATGAAAATAGGGAGGTTGTTGTGCTGGTTGTTGGTAGGCATTACCTGATTGATGAATACCTATGAGTATAAATGTTATGTTCTACATGCAGTGCTATAGATCAGCACACCAAAACGTATATATCAAAAGTCAAATCACGTGAATAAGCACCATTGATAGAACTCTAGAATGGACCAGATATAAAATTTTAGGCCTGTTTTACTTAGAGTTACATACACAAGTATCAAAACTCTAAAAGAACAGTTCTAGGCAGAAATTGAAAAGCAGAGGTTACTCCCTCGCAATTTGAATGCATCTTCTCTTAGTTTCAATTTGTGAAAGTAAGTTATGCTCAGACCAGCAAATGTAACAACACTGATTACATATTTGGTATTTATTTACTGGTATCACTGCGAGTATCAGATAATTGATATCCAACTCCTGTTTTCCTAAAATAAAGTCGGTACAACATGGGACTTGAACATGTGAGACTGGGGACCTAAACATCCTGTGTTCAAATTTCCCCAACTAGTCACAGGTCATGTGACCTTGGGCATGTTACTTAACCTCTATGAGTCTCAGGGTTCCCATCTGTAAAATGGGGGTATTGATTGAATCTACCCATTGGGATTGTTGGAAAGAGTAAGTGAATTAGTACACGGAAAGCACTTAGCACTGTGCCCCACATCTCGTTTTACCCAGTATTAGTACTTAGGACTATGTGGTGAGGAAAGCAGTGCTTTGTGTAATAACATTGCACTAGGAAAATGAACAGTGCTTTCTTGGACTTCCTATGTGAGCTAACATGCTCAGAAAACACTGCTTGATTTAGTTTAGCAAATGAAGAAAGTACTACTGAGTGGGAAACTCATTGATGCTGTTGGCTACATGACTTTGCAGGTCTTTAGTATAACACCTTGGAGACCAAAAGATGATGTGTTTCCATAGAAGTCTGCCTCATTTATCTCTGCTTCTCACTCTTTGTTACCCCTTCAGTTCATGCCTGTTTCCTTCTTTTTCTTGTTTCGTTCATTTAACTAAATATAAGATAAACCAAATTTAAAACGTTACCTAATATCCTACATTTCTTCTTAGTTAAAATGTAGGCAATACGTGAAGCCTATAAATGTTATGAACTGATGTGGAACGCTCTTCTAAATTGTTAAGATGACTGAAAGAACCAACCAGCATAACAATAGATCTGGTGTAATCTCAAGTAAGAAGAGAGAAAAAGTGGGAGAGGAGACAGGGGAAAGAGTAAGGCAAGACAAGGAATCAATGTCTAAATATACCTAAAAGAGTGTAAGTTTCCAGAAGGATCGCTCTGAAACCATTATGAGCTTGAATGAGAATGAGATTGGGGGAGGGGGAGGAAACATCAGGCAGAGTGGGGAAACTAAGGGGCGCTTCTCATTTTTACCTTGTGTGGTCCGAATTTTCTAGTAACGGGAAATATGCATTTATCACTTGCGTAATTCTAGAAATGTGGTGGGGAAAATGAAATGAAAGAAAGGTTCTCTCTCACAAGTGAATTGGATTTTTCCTCATCCATTTTTTCTTTCGGTTCAGCCGCCCATGCATATATTTTTCTTGACCTAGGTCTAGGTTTTGTTGTTCTTGTTTGGATTAAAAAATAAGATAAAAACCGGGCAGCCCGGGTGGCTCGGCGGTTTAGCGCCACCTTCGGCCCAGGGCGCGACCCTGGAGACCCGGGATCGAGTCCCACGTCGGGCTCCCCGCATGGAGCCTGCTTCTCCCTCTGCCTGTGTGTGTGTGTGTGTGTGTGTGTGTGTGTGTGTGTGTGTCTCATGAATAAATAAATAAAATCTTAAGGAAAAAAAAAAAAAGATAAAACCCGCCCAGAAGGCTAAGCTTGGCGCCTTCCCTGCTTCCCGGCTGCCGCTCCAGGCGTCCCTGAAAGCCTCCATCCTCGCCGGCGACTGCGCGACGGCGGCGGCCATTGTGTTCCTGAGCGACCGCTTCCTGTACGGGCTCGACGTCTCGGGCGGGCTCCTGCGGGTCGCCCAGGCGCTGCACCGGCTGCAGCCCGCAACGCCCATGGCCCCGCAGCTGGTCATTCGCCAAGCGCGGATCTCCGTAAACTCAGGTAGGCGCCCTCCCGCTGGCCCCCCCGCTGGCCCCTCCCCGCCGGGCGCCGTCGGGCCGGCGGCTCGCCTCCCCTCCGCCCGCCCTCCGGGGCTGCCTGACTTCCGCGCGAGGCCGGCGGGCGCCCGAGGCCCGCGGGGCCATCTTTTCAAGCTGAGGGCTCTCCCCGCCCCCGGCCCTCAGAGGTGCCCTTGCACCCGCCTCCTGCCAGCACAAAGGCCCTGGCATAAAGGGTTTCAGAGCCAAAAGCGGTAGAGAAAATTGTGAAAGGGTGTGGAAAATACTAATTGGAGCTTTTGTCTTCTAACAAATCTGTCCTGCTGCTTTCAAACAGGGGTATCTGAATTGCTATACTTCTGACCAAGAGCCTTTAAAAAGCAGATTAAAATTCTACTATTTTCTCTTAGTTCTCCTGTCTCCTTTCTGTAGGGCCACTTGACTATGCTCACAATAGAGCTGACAAATCCACTGAAGTAATTTGAGGGTTTTTTTTCCATCACTGGGAACACCGGTACAGTACCTGATTAGGCCTTAAAGTATCCTTTTTTTTTTTTCCTTCTGTCACTTTGAATGAAATGAAAAATGAGGCTGACATTCTAACTTAGGATGTAATGTGGAGGGGCGTTGGAGGGAGAAAAAGGCCCACTAATGCATTACAGTGAAGTGTCCTTCTATAGAATTTTTTAATTCTTTAAATTACTGATAACCTCGAGGTTTAGAAATGTGTAGCCTGCTATTCTCATTTCTAAGAGTGAAAGAATAAAGGACAAAAGTAGAAGGCAGATTTGCCTTTCCCAGGAACAGGACTGGCTCATTCTTTAAATGGATTTTAGCTATTGTTATTGTTTTAGTAAGTCTGGCCCTTCAAAGGGTTAAAATATCTTTACTTCATTTCCTTTGAAAAGGAACTGTACAGACATACTAAATGGGACAATTGTTAGATGCAGAGAGCCGCAGAGATAAAAAAAAAGACATGAGAGAAATGGGCTTGTGAAAGTTAACTTTTCAAAAGCCCAACTTCATTCACTTTCAAGTTCTTGCAGCTGTGCATAAATTGTGTCCGTGTTTATTGCTTTTCTAGAGTAACTGCAGGGACGGAGTTGAACTTAGGAAACCTTCTCACTTCCAATATCCCTAATTTGGGACATTTTACAATGTTTGGGGTTTCTATTGTCTGGGGTATGAGTGAAACCGAACTTGTGTTCCTTCGGATGGCATCAGATGGCAATGATGTGTGTGCATGGCATTCTGTGGGGAGAACAGAATGATGAGGGCTGGGTGTGCCCAGGCAGAGTTCTAACATTGGTTTCTCCTCAGGTGGAACTTGGAACAGGGATGCCTGGGTGGCTCAGTGGTTGGGCATCTGCCTTCAGCCCAGGGTGTGATCCTGGAGACCCAGGATTGAGTACCACATCGGGCTCCCTTCATAGAGCCTGCTTCTCCCTCCGCTTCTGCCTGTGTCTCTCTCTCTCTGTATCTCTCATGAATAAATAAATAAAATCTTTTAAATCCCTATCAAAATACCATGGACTTTCTTCAGAGAGTTGGAACAAATTATCTTAAGATTTGTGTGGAATCAGAAAAGACCCCGAATAGCCAGGGGAATATTAAAAAAGAAAACCATAGCTGGGGGCATCATAATGCCAGATTTCAGGTTGTACTACAAAGCTGTGGCCAAGACAGTGCAGTACTGGCACAAAACAGACACATAGATCAGTGGAACAGAATAGAGAATCCAGAAGTGGACCCTGAACTTTATGGTCAACTAATATTCAACAAAGGAGGAAGGACTATCCACTGGAAAAAGGACAGTCTCTTCAATAAATCGTGCTGGGAAAATTGGACATCCACATGCAGAAGAATGAAACTGGACCATTCTCTTGCACCATACACAAAGATAAACTCAAAATGGATGAAAGATCTAAATGTGAGACAAGATTCCATCAAAATCTTAGAGGAGAACACAGGCAACACCCTTTTTGAACTTGTCCACAGCAACTTCTTGCAAGATACATCCATGAAGGCAAGAGAAACAAAAGCAAAAATGAACTATTGGGACTTCATCAAGATAGGAAGCTTTTGCACAGCAAAAGAAACAGCCAACAAAACTAAAAGACAACCTACAGAATGGGAGAAGATATTTGCAAATTACGTATCAGATAAAGGACTAGTATCCAAGATCTATAAAGAACTTATTAAACTCAATAATAAAGAAACAATCCAATCATGAAATGGGCAAAAGACATGAAGAGAAATCTCATGGAGGAAGACATAGACATGGCCAACAAGCACATAAGAAAATGCTCCATATCACTTGCCATCAGGGAAATACAAATCAAAATCACAATGAGATACCACCTCATACCAGTGAGAATGGGGAAAATTAACAAGGCAGGAAACAACAAATGTTGGAGAGGATGTGGAGAAAGGGGAACCCTCTTGCACTGTTGGTGGGAATGTGAACCACATGTGCAGCCACTCTGGAAAACTGTGTGGAGTTTCCTCAAAGAGTTAAAATAGATCTGCCCTATGACCCAGCAATTGCACTGTTGGGGATTGACCCCAAAGATACAGATGCAGTGAAATGCCGGGACACCCTGATGTTTATAGCAGCAATGTCCACAATAGCCAAACTGTGGAAGGAGCCTCGGTGTCCATCCACAATAGCCAAACTGTGGAAGGAGCCTCGGTGTCCATTGAATGATGAATGGATAAAGAAGATGTGGTCTATGTATACAATGGAATATTACTCAGCCATTAGAAACGACAAATACCCACCATTTGCTTCGAGGTGGATGGAACTGGAGGGTATTACACTGAGTGAAATAAGTCAGTCGGAGAAGGACAAATATTATATGGTCTCATTCATTTGGGGAATATAAATAATAGTGAAAGGGAATAAAGGGGAAAGGAGAGAAAATGAGTGGGAAATATTAGAAAGGGAGACAGAACATGAGAGACTCCTAACTCTGGGAAATGAACAAGGGGTGGTGGAAAGGGAGGTGGGCAGGGGATGGGGGTGACTGGGTGATGGGCACTGAGGGGGACACTTGATGGGATGAGCACTGGGTGTTATGCTATATGTTGGCAATTTGAACTCCAATAAAATATAACTGTAAAAAAAAAGGGAAAAAGTAAAATCTTTTAAAAAAGAACTTGGAACAGTTATTGTGTCCTATTTTATGATATATGGATTTGCTATAGTATGACATGGAAATTGAGGTCAAGTGGTAAACAGTCATGTTGATAGCTTTGCTTTACACAGTCAAACTGATCTTTTCACTTGTTTGTTTTGTTGTTTCTCTCACGCTTCTAACCATGATAACAAGTGAGCCTAGGTATCATCATGAGCAGTACGCTCCTCTGCTGATACACATCCTATGTCTAAGATAAAATCCTGGATCTTACTCCCAACAGTTGGGTTATCTTTTCCTCAAAGATACTATCGGAAGAACCACAAGAAAATGAATACAAGCCCTCAGAGTTAAATGATTTTTGTGAACTTCTGCCCCTAAACAACTCTCTTATTTTTTTAAGATTAATTTATTTTAGAAAGAGAGTGGGAGTGCATGAGTAGGAAGGGCAGAGAGAAGGTGGCAGAGAAACACAAGCAGACTCCATGCTGAGCTCAGAGCTCCACGCAGGCTCGATCTCATAACTCTGAGATCACTACCTGAGCCAAAATCAAGTCAGGTGCTCAAGCAACTGTGTCACTCAGGCACTCCCCTGAAAACAACTCTTAAGCTTCCCCATACTCTGGATGTCTCAGAGAGGGAGGGATTTAGAGTGGGGGTGGTGTCCTAGTAAAAAAGATACCATGAAAAGGGGTCTCCATTCTCAGCAGTTGGGACTCCTGGAATGGAGAAATGAGAGGATTGATTTTATAAGGAATATGGAAGAGGTTATATATTTTCTTAAAAAGTTTGCTCAAGTTTGGATCCCCAGGTATCTCCAGGTAGCTGGAGAAGCCATCTATGTTGTAGGAGGAAGGCACAGGAGAAGCCAGTGGTTAGAAGCATGATCATCAGGTCATGATACTGGGATACTGGGATCAAGCTCCCTGCTCAGTGGGGAGTCTGCTTCTCCCTCTCCAGCTGCCTCTCCCCACCCTTGCTTATGCTTTCTCAAGTGTGGATTCACTTTCTCAAATAAATAGATAAAATCTTTTTAAATAAATAAATAATTTTTTAGACTATCCAAAGAGTCTAAATATGTGCCCATCTGTTAAAAGTGAGTGGTAACAACCTTCCAATAAAGATAAATTTCCTGGGCCAGTTTCTCAGGTGTTCCAACCTCCTAACTGACCTATCTGAAATTCATTCCTGCTGCAGGTCTTTTTTTTTTTATATAAAGATTTTATTTATATATTCATGAGAGACACAGAGCATGCGCACGAGAGAGGCAGAGACATAGGCAGAGGGAGAAGTAGGCTCCATGCAGGGAGCATGACGTGGGACTTGATCCCGAGTCTCCAGGATCACAGTCTGGGCCGAAGGCAGCGCCAAACCGCTGAGCCACCCAGGCTGCCCTCCTGCTGCAGGTCTAACAGCAAAAGAGAAAGTGACAGAACTGGACATTATATTTAAGGAAAATACTGAGAATGAAACATGTAGAGTTAGATGAAAATATGAAAGATGAATTTTTAAAACTTGGAGAATAGAATGAAAAAAACACAGAAGCATAATAGGACTTCTTAGAGGACTTGAATTGGAGACAAACATGTCTTTGTGTTGAAAAGGGGGACCCAAACTTGAGCAAACTTTTTTAGAAAACCACCTAGACGTACTGTGGTGAAACTACAGAAAATCAAACGATGAGAAAATCTTAAAGGAAACAGAGAAAAGATAGGTTTTATATATATGGGAACCATAGTTAGGCTGACAAAAAGCATCTTATCAGGAACAACAGAGTCCAGAAAGCAATAGAATCTACCAAAAAAAATTGAGAGGAAATAATTTCCAACCTAGAATATATACTCAGCAAAGTCATCATTCAAGAGTGAGGACAAAATAGACATTTTCAGATAAAGACTAAAAATATTTGTTACCCTCAAGACATCTCTCTCTCTCTCTCTCTCTCTCTCTCACACACACACACACACACACACATTAAAGAAGTGTGAAGGAGGAAATTGAATCCATAAAAATGGAGTAGGAGATTCCAAAAGCAATGGTAGGTAAAGAATTGGTAAATGCACAGGTCAAACTAATTAAGATCAAAAATAAAAGGAAATTATATGGTAGTATCACATAGTTTATCATATGCAAATATCTTACAATATTATCAAATTGACAAACATTGTATTCAATTAATAATACATTGCAGTAAAGAAGGCTTGTTCCACATATATAAGGATGGTTAAATATTTAGAAGTTGATTCATTCAGGAGTGCCTGGCTGGCTCAGTTGGTAGAGCATGTGACTTGATCTCAGAGTCATGAGTTCATGCCCCTTGTGTGTGGAGCTTACTAAATAATAATAATAATAATAATAAAATAACTGATTCATTCAATTCACCTTGTGGACGGAATAAACAAGAAAACTATGTGTTCACCTAAATTGATGTGAGAAGTGTTTTATAAAATTTTCAGCCCATTTAAGTTAAAAATACAAACTAGAGTTAGAGATGTAATTCGTCAGGTTCCAGTCAGAAGCCAAAAACAACACAGTAATTTGAACAAGGAAAGTTTAATATGAAGAGTTGTTAACTATATCAGGGGGTTAATGAGGGATTACTAGTAAGTAGTAAAAAGAACTATAAGGAATACAAGATAAGCAGTTATAAGGAATAGCCACTATCCCTTGTACTGAGATAGAGCATACAAGAAAAAGTTCACAACCTTACAGCCAGGCACATCAGGAGTATGATCCAGACCTTGTTGGAAAAGGTACAGCCATAACTTAACTGGATGGCAGAGAAGTCAAGGAGGTTCCATGCCAGCAAAACTCACTGAAAATCCACCTTTTTGAATGCTGGGGGACTCTGTCGACAAAAAGATGCCTTGGAACTCACCACAAAGCTGCCTTTATGGAATGGCAGGAGGAAACATTCATGGGGAAGTCCCTCACTGGCAGCACTGTACTGTGAATCACCTGAGAGGATGCTGTGGGAAGCTGCTGGCCGGGGTGCTGCTGACCTCTGCACACTGAGGAGCCAAGTGCTGGAGAAGCCACCTATGTTGTAGGAGGAAGGCACAGGAGAAGCCAGGAATGCTGCAGGAGGCAGGCATTTGAGAAGCTATATGCACTGCAGGAGCCTGGCAGGAATTCCACACTAAATCAGAAAGAGAAGCAGCCTCCCCCTTGCAGTGTCTCTCCACACCCTCCAATGACAAAGCTGGTAAAGGAGAATTATTTACAAGATCTATTCCCATTATTGCAAAGCAGGCAATGAAGGGTGAATTTGGAACTGAACAGCAGTAATCTGATAGCTGCATAAGAAGAAACTTTTTTTTTAAGATTGTATTTATTTATATTTAAAAGAGAGAAAGAGAGAGAAAACACAAGCAAGGGGAGCGGCAGAGGAAAAGGAAGAAGCAGACTCCCCATTGAGCAGGGAGCCTGACATAGAGCTCCATCCCAGGACCCTGGGATCATGACCTGAGCCAAAGGCAGATGCTTAACCTGACTGAGCCACCCAGGAGCCCCAAGAGGGAACTTCCTAACCTGATAAAAGGAAGCAACTGAAAACCTTGGCAAAACTACTGATAAAAAATTAGAAATATTCCCCTTAAAATCAAGTAAAGAATAAAATGTTACTTATGGTCACTTCTATGTGATACTGACCTGAAGTCCTCCCAATGCAATGAAAAAAGGAAAAGAAATAAGAGATATAAAGATTAGAAATGAGTAAACACAACTGTCAGGATCTGTAGACAGTATGATTGCTCACATAGAAAACTTCAAGAAATACACTGATTATTAGAATTAAGGCATTCAGCAAGTTTGGTGATTACAAATCAATATATGTTTAAAATAGCCATCCTGGGGCAGCCCCAGTGGCTCAGTGGTTTAGCGCCACCTTCAGCCTAGGGCATGATCCTGGAGACCTGGGATCAAGTCCCACGTCGGGCTCCCTACATGGAGCCTGCTTCTCCCTCTGCCTGTGTCTCTGCCTCTCTCTGTGTGTGTGTCTCTCATGAATAAATAAATAAAATTTATTTAAAAAAAATAAAATAAAATAGCCATCCTTAGCAGCAAAACCTAATTAGAAGGGCACCTGGTGGCTTAGTTGGTTAAGCGTCCAACTCTTGATTTTGGCTCTGGTTATGATCTCAGAGTCCTGGAATCAAGCCCCACATAGGACTCCCCACTTAGTGGGGAGTCCGCTAGAGATTTTCTCTCTCTCTCTCTCTCTCTCTCTCTCTGCCTCTATACTTTCCTCTGTTCGTGTGCTCTAAAATAAATAAATAAATACATACATACATACATACATACATAAATACCTAAGTAGAAAATATAACTTTTAAGAAGAAAGATACCTTTGGTAAAATTCATTTACACAGGTATTTCATGCTGTCTTTCTAAACACATTCTTTCCTTCTTTCCTTCCTTCCTTCCCCTTTCATAGTCTCATTCATTGAAAGAAGACGTAACGTTTTACAAGGGTTTGTCTTTACTTCTTAAGCCTTATTCTATATGAATGCAAGTATATGTGTGTGTATATGTGTATAGATCTAATTGCCATTTCAGATATAGTACAACTTTCCACCTTACCAATTCCTGGAAATGTCATCTTTTCTGTTCACTTTTGTGTATAATGTAGTTATTGATTTTAAATTTTATTTTTTTAAAGATGTATTTATTTTAGAGAGAGAGAGAGTACATGAGAGCACACATGCGTGGGGGGGGCAGAAGGAGAGGGAGAGAGAGAATCTCAAGCAGACTCCCTGCTGAGTGTGCAGCCAGAGGTGGAGCTTGATCTCACCACCGGAGATCAAGAGTCCATCACTTAGCCAACCAAGCCACCCAGGCACACTTCTCATTTTAAATTTTAAAATAGAATGTTTCCAAGACAGGTTATGTTCCCTATTATAATGTGTTAATCTTAAAACATAAACTACTAGTAATATTAAAGGCACCTATTCAGAACTAATTGTGTGACGTTTGGTTGCTTCTTTTCAGGGAAACTTTTAAAAGCAGAATATATCCTGAGCAGTCTAATAAGCAATAACGGAGCAACAGGTAAAGTGCTTTCCTAACTTCACAATGACCTTCATGTGCGGCTTTGGTCAAGAAACTTAATTCTCTGTTTCTCCGTTTTCTCCAATTAAAAATGAAAACAAAACAACCAAAGTTCTAATATTTCCCTGTTTTATTGTAGAGTGTGTTGTCTAATGAACAATATGCTGTTAAAACATGTAACTCTATGGGCCTCAGAAGAGACTTAGTAGCACCCTTTAGGGGAACTATAAATGGAAATAAAGCCTGTAATTGAGAAAAATACATATATGGGTTTATGTATTTAAATGGCTTGGAAAATAAATTTGATTTTACTCTATTTTAATAAGAGCTTATTTTGAAGTGGATTTCTTTCAATATTTAATCATACACAAAAGGAAGCGCATCCTACTAGTTGAGTAAGATATCATTTATACCTCCAGATATCTTGTCTGAATTTCTGGGCATTAAAGTCAACAAGTTTCCCAGTAAGTTGAAGACAACTTCCAGTAGACTTTTAATCCCAATGTGTTTGGATACAAGGCCCCAAGTTTCTTGACACTTGTAACCACTTCCAGTGGGGAAGCAGTTTGGAATACAGACTTTAACTACATACCCTTCATTTGTGGCCATCACTAACCTAGGATGTGCACACTTCCCATCTTCTACACCACACAACATACACACACACACACACACACACACACTGAGATTAAAAGCTGGGGAGAAAATAGAGAAGGTGATGTGACACAAAATCAAGAGGGGTGTAATAATGAATTTGACTCTATTTTTGGTGTTTGACCACCGACAATTTTCAGTCCCACAACTGGGCAGGCAGGCATGGGGTGGGGGCTGTTTTTGGGGTTGTTTTATTTTTTTTTTAAGATTTTATTTATTTATTCATGAGAGACACACAGAGGCAGAGACACAGGCAGAGGGAAAAGCAGGATCCATGCAGGGAACCCGATGTGGGACTTGATCCCAGGACTCCAGGATCACGCCCTGAGCCTAAGGCAGGCGCTCAACCTGCTGAGCCACCCAGGTGTCCCTTTTGGGTTGTTTTATTTATTTATTTTTAAAGATTTTATTTATTTATTTATTTATTCATTCATTCATTCATTCATGAGAAACACAGAGAGGAGAGAGAGAGAGAGAGAGAGGCAGAGACACAGGCAGAGGGAGAAGCAGGCTCCATGCAGGGAGCCTGACGTGGGACTTGATCCCGGGTCTCCAGGATCATGCCCTGGTCTGAAGGTGGCACTAGACCGCTGAGACCCCAGGGCTGCCCTTTGGGTTGTTTTAAACATACTTATCAGTAAACTGAGCATAGCTTGTGGGAGACCGTACCCCAGCCCCACACCCTAATCACAATTAAAACCAAAGCCACTCACCATTCTTCATTCAAGTCAAATGGACCAGCTTGGGTGTCTGCCTGCCAGAAAGGCTCATTATATGAGTACTTAGTCTTTTCATACCTTCTTGACGTGTGTGTGCATCAAGTCCCAACCTCCCAACCAATTTGGGGTGGATTGGAAAGAATCGCTGGTCTCCTCAGGAACCAGAGGGAAAAGGATCCCAGGCCTCTTAGTGCAGATGCCATAAAGCAAGAGATCGCTCCGATGATAAGGAACACAAATGAAGTCAGTGTGACAGAACACAGTCCATTGGGAGACCAGACAGGAGTTCATTTCTGTGAAGCCTTGGAGGTTACAGCAAGGAGTTTGGACCTTTCCCTATATGTAGAGAAAAGATGGTCTCTGGAATCTGTATTACTTGTGTTCATGAAGACTTGTGAGAAAACGGTGTCATTTCACCAGGCTATTTCCTTGATAATTCAAAGCTAAAACTGCTTTACTTTTTTCCCTCTTTTGTTGTAGGTACCTGGCTGTACAGAAATGAAAGCGACAAGGTCCTGGTACAGTCAGTCTGCATACAGATCAGAGGGCAAATTCTGCAAAAGTTAGGTACAGTCATCAAACATTTGCTCCTCTCAGGGCTCATTTACAAAGTCCGGCCGTGAGAGTTTACTGTGGACTTTTTGTATTGTATCTGGTTAAAATTACTAATCCCCACATCGTTTAGTTTCCTCATCAAAAAGAAAATGACATTTAAGATCCCAGAAGTGTTATAAACACTAATAAAATATTTTCTGGGCAGCCCAGGCCGCTCAGCGGTTTAGCGCCGCCTTTGGGCGTTGGGCTCCTTGCGTGGAGCCTGTTTCTCCCTGTGCCTGTGTCTCTGCCTCTCTCTCTGTGTCTCTCATAAATAAATAAATAAGACCTAAAAAAAAATAATAATAAAATAAAATATTTTCTGTTGAGTTTTGTTACAGAAACACAGCTGTGTGATATTAACCCTAGGGTTCTCAAGATTATTTCTGGCGTCTGGCTTTCAGTTCTACAGGACCCCATGTGTTAGAGTGACACCTTATTGTAAACCACCCTGACACCATACCCATTCATTCTCCAGAGGGCATTCCTGACTTTGTCAAACAAAAGTTGTAGAATGCTAATTGGGCTTTAAAATGCATGGCCCCGCCCCCGCTGGTTATAGCCGGGCAAAGCTGAGTGCGGTGCCAACAGTCCACAAGAGGGCTTCTAGCACTGCCCCCACAGACAGGGCAACCTGAACTTGGCGGGGGGATGATGGTGAGTGAGCCGCACTAGGGGAGGGGGTCCTGAGGAGGGAGGGACACAGGGCTGAGGCTCTGCTGTAGGCTGGAGAGCGGAGGGAGATGCGCTGGGAGGGAGGAGGGAGCTTCTGGGGCCCCTGTGGGCTTCCTAGCCTATCCCAGCCTGAACACGAAGACTTTCAAAAACATCAAAAAGGAAGAATAAAAAGGAGCTGCAGATGCTCAAATAAATAAATAAGTATACAAACACATCTGAAAAAAAATGTTTTAAGATCTTATTTATTTATTCATGAGAGACACAGAGAGAGAGGCAGAGACACAGGCAGAGGGAGAAGCAGGCTCCATGCAGGCAGCCCGACGTGAGGTCTCCAGGATCACGCCCTGGGCTGAAGGCAGTGCCAAACCACTGAGCCACCCAGGCTGCGCACATCTGAAAATTTTTAACACAAAAAATTAGTATTCTTGTTAATTATGGGCTAATTATTTTTTATTTATATATATTGTATATGATATATAATAATTCTTTCTGTTTCTCTGTAAAAGGGAAGAATTATCTGTATTGAACCAACTGGAAAAATAGGTTGCTGTTTTTCCAGCAGATTGCTATTGATTGATTGCCGTCAGTGTAATTCAGCCTTAAATTTTCCTAACAGGAAACAATGAATCTTCTTTCCGTATTAGTTTTCAAAGATATTTTCTAACACAATAGACAGATACTAGCAGTTTGTCCCATCTCCCCTTTTTCTTTTCAGGGATGTGGTATGAAGCAGCAGAGCTAATATGGACCTCCATCATAGGATATTTGACACTTCCTCAGCCAGATAGAAAGGTGATATATCTAGTGGTTTTTTTTTTTTTTCTCCTTTCTTACATTTGTCTTTGGATGATTATCTCCTTAAAGCACAATTCACTGTATCATTTATTAATTTTATTGGTTCTATTTTTCTTTTTATTGGTTCTATTTTTATTGATTCTTCATGGGCATAGGACCAGAAACATTTGGTAACTTCCTCTTGTGTCTTGCCTTGTCCCCACTCACAGCTAGACTCCTGGCATGTATTTAGTGTTTCTGCATTCATTTCTATCTATTTATATATTTATTTCTATGATCCATTCATCTATTTATTTTATTATAGATTTAGTCTTTACCTGATTGCATAGCAAAGTTGAAATAGCCAAGTTCCTTATTTATAAAATCATTTTTCCTGAGTTGAGTGGACAGGCTTCAATTAATTGTTTATGTGGCATCTTTATCCAAGAAGTTGAGAAGCAACATTTGTTTTCCTATTTGATGTTTTCATCCTCTGTACCTCTGTAGGAATATTCTCCTTGTAAACTGGAACACTGGGTCATCTTGTTTCCCTGAGCTATATAGCAGTGCCACTGCCTACAATCCTTTTATGACCCAAACAGAATGGGACAAAAGGCCTCTTGCTTGAACCAATTCTTTAGGCCTAGCAGTATGGAGAAGTTAGTGTTGACAGTCCAGTAAAGCCCAACTAAGAAATAGTTGTGTTTACATTGGGTCTGTGTCCTCAGGATGTGATGATTTTGCAAACCCTGTGGCATCCAGTTTAGAAGTATTTTCGGTCAGAATAACAATAACAATAAGACTAAGAAGAATCAGCAGCAGCAGTAGGTAATCTGGAGAACTAATTGTTGACTTTAGGCCTTGAGATGAGAGCAGTAATTGACCATTAATTCCTAATCTGTGTTTTGTTTGTATTTTTCTTACAGGGTATTTCCACGTCACTAGGTATACTGGCAGACATCTTTGTTTCCATGAGCAAAAAAGATTATGAAAAGTTTAAAAACAATCCACAGATTAACTTGGTAATTATCAAGTGTCAAAATCATGGTGCAGAGTGGCATCACCTACAAAACTGCCAGTGTTTTTTTTTGTTTTGTTTTTTGTTTTTTGTTTTTACTGCCAGTGTTTTTGGTGATTGGTGTATCAATCTCATTCCTTCTCCAGGAGTCAGGGAGCACAGTGTCTACCCTCTTCAAGTCACATGAACAATCCTGGGAACAATTCTATTGGTGTCCTACCTAGCACCTAGCACAGTGCCAGACATATGAGGGTCTCCTAAAAAATGACTAATACTAAAAAAATGACTTGTGAATGAATATCATTGAGGTGATAGATGCTTTGAATCCCACTTTCTTCCTTTCAAATCATCACAAAATTCAGTTTCCACGCTTGGGGCACCTCAGTGATAAGGTAAAGGGGTAACAATTTTAAAGATTTCATTTTTTAAAGTAAGCTCTACATCCAACATGGGGCTTGAAATTACAACTCTGAGATCAAGAGTTGCATGCTCTACTGACTGAGCCAGGCAGGTTCCCCAAAGGGATAACAGTTTTAAAACTAATTACCCTCTGCTCAAATCAGACCATGAGTTACTTGTCTAGGTTCTTATCCTTAGTAATAATGATTACTAGTATTTATCTATTCTTTTACAATTTAATATATAGGAGCACATAAAACCCTATGAGGTAGGTAGAGCAAAATGTATCATTCTCATTTTAGAGAAAAATAAACTGACGTCCTGAGAAACTAAGTGAGTTTTATAGTTTGCACCCTGTAAGAAAGAATACTAGGAGCAGAACCCAGGTCTCTGACCAGTCTAGAGCATTAGCATAGACATTGACCTGTTTTCCTGCACTGAACTGGTATTGAGATTTTTAATATTATCATGAAGATTGCCATCTTTATTAAATACTAAAGTGACATAGTAACCATATTTAATAGTAATTAGTGTAGCATAAGAATACATGCAGCTTGCTGCTAGCAATCTGAGTCTTAGCAAAATGTTGCTTTTGCTGTCAGACCAACACACAAGAAAAGGGTTATATCCCTTGTTCAGTGAAGTTGTCTTTGATGATTGCTTAAAATTATAAACTGCCAGGCTGCCTGGCTAAGCATGTGACTCTTGTTCTCAGGGTTGTAAGTTCAAGCCCCACATTGGGTTTAGAGCTTACTTTAAAAAAAAAAAAAAAAAAGATTAAATTAAATTTTTTAAAATTGTAAACTGCCTCCCTACCCTGAACCTCTTTGTGGCCCCTTCCTGCTTTTTCTCTAGAACAGTTATCACCATGTCAGATACCATGCATTTTATTCATTTTGTGTATTGACTGATCTCTTCCCCTCAACAGGAAGCAAGTTTATTATTGTAGGCTCACTGCTATCTCCTTCATGTCTAGAACAGTGCCTGGCACATGGAGGTACACACATTTCTAGGATGAATGAATGAATCTTAATTGCCGTGAAATCATACATTAAAAGGTTCTTTGCTAAGAACAGTGTAGAAATCATCAGCTCATCTGGCTGCAAAATATGCAGAGTTCCTGTGAACAAAGAGTTGCATGATCCTCCAGAGAAACTTGTGTAAACTATTTTGTATAGGCAGGCATTTGTGAATTTTTGCACACATTAGGCCCTCTCTGAGGAGGAAGGGTGGATGGGTTGTGTATGGGTGCTGGGGGAAAGGACACTCACTCAACAATCTAGGGGTTTGGGGCCACTTAACTCTTTCTTGGCACTGTTCTGAAATGGTTGTGATGAGGGGCAGAGTGTTTTTCAGAATACTGAAAGAAAAGCAAAGGAATTTCATAGCCTGACTTTTGCTAATGGACAAATAATTGTCAATACAACACTTGGCTTCCTATTTTTTCACAGGGTTTTTTGAAGGAGTTTGACCACCATTTGCTCTCAGCTGCAGAAGCCTGCAAACTGGCAGCTGCCTTCAGTCCCTACACACCTCTGTTTGTGCTCACAGCTGTGGTAAGGAGGGTGCAGCCCCTTGCTGAACTGCTCCCCAGTGAGAGGAGTAACCAGTGAGAGGGAAGGTCTAACCTAAAGTGTTTTTGTATGTAGCAGCCTCCTTTTCACAGAGAAAATTACTATGTCCATTTCCCATATATAGACTCTCTTTGTTGAAACTAACAACAGCAGTAACAGCAACAACAAACTTATCATCTTTGATCAAAAAGTATTAGGCCTGGGGCCACCCAGCTGGTTCAGTTAGAGGAGCATGCAGCTCTTGATCTCAGCATCATGAGCTGGAGCCCCATATTGGGTGTAGACATTACTAAAAAGAATAAATTAAAAAAATTTTAAAAGTATGAGGCAAACAGCAAGATTGTAGTTAAAACTAATTTCTTCCCCCTCATGCCAACCAATCACATGTATCCCAGGCCCTGCTCCTGATTCACCAAAAAGATATTAGGTCCTTAACTCAATACTTGATTGTATATATTTTTTAGAATATCTGGCAAGTGTTTATTTTCCTAAAATATTTCTAATTGCTGCCCCCAGGAATGAAGTTTTTCTTGATTCACTTCCAGTTTCTAATTCAATTTCTGATTTTGTATTTGGTATTTTGCTCAGAATATCCGTGGCACATGCTTGTTGTCATACAGCAGTTCTAATGACTGTCCTCCAGAAATGAAAAATTCATATCTGCATGAGGCCAAAGAAGCGTTTGAAATTGGCCTCCTCACCAAGAGATATGATGAGCCAGTTACTGGAAAACAAGAGCTTCATAGTCTTCTCAAAGCTGCTTTCGGCCTCACCACAGTGCACCAAAGACTCTATGGGGAAACAGAGATGGTCAATGTAGCAAGTCAGCTCTGTAATAAAGCTATGGGAAAGCTGTACAGTTTCAGTACTTCCTCTGGAAGTCAGGAGAGAGAAGTTCTCTCTCAGGAGATCTTGTCAATTATTGCCCATGTAAAAGATCATTTACAAATTCAAAGCTTCTCAAATTTAGATGACAAGTCTTATGTTCCAGAGAATTTCAAGCATGGGTTGGATAAACCCATCTTGCATGGGCAAGTGGATTTCCAAAAAATCCTTGAAGCCTATTCACAGCACCATACTTCAGTGTGTCAAGTATTTGAAAGCTCTTGTGGAAACAACAATAAACAGAAAGATACAAAAACGGAAGTCTGTATCACTACTCTAAAAACCGAGACAAGAAACATAGATACTGTATGTACTGCTGAAGACAAACCACATTTTCAAAAAAGCATGGTAATATCTTCCTCCCAAATGGTTAAGAATAATCAGGGGAAACTCAGGAGGAAAGGAAGGAAAAACTGGACTCATTCTGATACATTTCGAGTCTCCTTGGATCAAGATGTAGAGACTGAGATTGAGCCACCAGACTACAGCCATGGTGAAGGAGATGTTTTGAACAAGTCTCTGAGTGACAGTCATTGCTCTAGTTCTTGGAGCAAGTTATCAAGGGTTAGTTCTTCTACAAGCTGGGAAGAAGTAAATTATATTGATGACAGGCCAACCAGAAAGGAGCCTTGCAAAGAAGAACATCTTGTGGATACTCAGTGTTCCACTGCCTTGTCTGAAGAGGTAGAGCTCAGTGAGGAAAACAAAGCTTCACATCCACTGTCTTCAAAGCTTTATGGTCTCTCTCTCCAAGTGTCCAAGGATGACCGTTTAGAGTCTTCTCAAAATCAGCTACAAAAACATGTGCCCTTGACAACCTTTTGTCCTCATAATACAACAGGCATGTTCTTGGCCTCTGGTGCAGAGCTGCTAGGAGCTCCAGAAGGTGTACAGAAAGTCAGAAACACGGGATCCAGAAATACTTCTCATTCCAGACGCTTGTTTGATTCTGTTTCTTTGTCCTCTTCTGATTCTGTTTGGCCCAAGAACATAGCCACATATCCTTTGGTCCAAGAAGAAGAAACCTTTGAACTAATTGAATCTCCAGAAATCAACTGTGATGCCAGAGACAGGCATGGAGAAGAAATCAAGAGAGGCACGGACCTTACATTTAAAGATATCTCCTCCTGGGTTGACCCGGAAGGAGAAACAGTGGAAAAAGAAGAGGCTATGCCCTTAGACTCTCACATAGTCATGGGGGATTCTCTGGACAAAAGTTCCATGGTGGCATGTAGCTCTTTCACTTTTCCTTGGCCTGCTCAAAATCCTGACTCAGGAAAGAGTAGTGGCTCAGTGAAAGAGCAAGACATCGACCCTGATGCCTCCACAGTAGATGAGGAGGGCCAGCTGCTCGACAGCACAGACATTCACCCCACAAGTGGATGTGGCTCTTCTAGCCTATGTGCTCTGAGGCAGCCGCATGGTCAGGGGGCTGAGACACCCAACCCGTCTGTAAGTAGTAATGTTGCCTTCCTTGATCTTAGCAAGGACTGCACTACCACGGAGGAAGGAAACAAGCCAGGAAGCATTCTAAACTGCAGCCAGAACTCCAGCTCATCTTCAGCATGGTGGTTGAAATCACCTGCATTTTCTAGCAGTTCTTCTGAGGGGGAAAACCCATGGTCCTTTCTGAATTCCAGTGGAAGTTCTTTTGTTTCATTGCCAGAAATGACAAGGCAAGAGATCCTAGAGGCTCGAACCCTGCACCCTGATGACTTTGAAAAACTCTTTGCAGGGGTGAGACATGATTGGCTGTTAAAGAGACTGGGGAATACTGGAGTTTTTAAGCCTAATCAACTCCACCAAGCACACAGTGAGTACAACCTTTTCAGTAGGTACAGCCTCAGGAAGCCTCTATGTACGTTTGGGGTCCTCTGAAGAACTTGATATGTAGATCACTTAAAATTCATGAAAGACACAGACCCCTGTTGCTTTGTGAATATACAGAAAATATGTACTTCAGGGATTTCCCTCACTCTTGGTGTGGTGGACTGTAATGGTCACAAAGACTAAAGGCTTACTCAGGCCACCTCATATATTGGGGGCTTGCCATATCCATATATTGGGGGATGTGTGCCATATCCACTCAGCATCTGTCTTTTCCATGGATTCTCATTACCAATCAGCTTATTTCTGTTTTTCCCCCATTCAGATTCTAGAGGGCAGTTTGACCTAGTTAAACATCACCCTTCTGCTAGGCAGAGATTTTCACACCTGTCCACAAGGTTTCTTTCCAGCTAGTGGATTGAGCAAGTGCCCCCTACTATTGCAATCAGCAACTACTTCTTGCTTATGGAACAACTCACGGTCACTTACCATAGCAGGGAGCCTGGATTGGGGCCACCCAGTAGTCAATGTGTCTGTTACAGCTTAGAAGTGGTGGAGAGTCTGGGAAGAAGACAAAAGAAGATTCTTCTCTTAGCCCAAAGGATCACATCATAGCACCCTCTAAGATACTGAAGAATTATTTGAAAAGAAAGGAACAACTCTTTCTTCTTTGGGTTGCTAGAATTATTTGAAAAGAAAGAAACAACTCTTTCTTCTTTGGGTTGCTAAGCACTAGATACTAAAGCAGTAGTTCTCTGGGTATCTGGGTGGCTCCGTCAGTTAAGTATCCAACTCTTGATTTCAGCTCAGGTCATGATCTCAGGGTCCTAGGATCCAGCACCCTGTGGAGCATAGCATCAGGCTCTATGCTCAGTGGGAAGTCTGCTGGAAGATTCTCTCTCATTCTCTCCTTCTGTCCCTCCCTCCACTCATGCATGTGCTCTCTTTCTCTCAATCTCTCTCAAGTAAATATATCTATAAATAAATAATTAAATAAAATAAAGTTGTGATTCTCAATCTTGGGACCATATAAGAATCCCCTGGGGGGAGGGAGCTTTTTAAATTTCCAGTACCTCACCCCTGAGATTCCAATCTAATGGGTGTCTGAGGTTTGGATTCAGACATCAGTATTTTTTAGTAGCTCTTCAGTGAGTTTTTAGAAAGACAATGTCAGTAACTTTGCTTCAAAGTACTCCAGTGTTTGGCCTGCTGCCTTGAGAAGACTACAGATCAGGTTGTTAAAAAAGAAGCAAAATGTTCTTCTATAATAGGTTTTCCTTATTCACTATTCCCTTTTTAGGGATTTTGTAGGTTCAGAATCACATTTCTTAGAGTTAGGTAACTGCTTTATTGTTATGCCTATGTGCCAGTTTATGGGTAAAAAGCCACATGTACATGATCTCAAACCCATTATGGGAACATTACCATCCCTAGTGTTCAGATAAGAAAAACAGAGAAAACCCAAAGAAACAAAGCAAGTTATACATCCTCCTTCTTTCTTCCCTCAGCTCATTATCCTTCCTATGAATGTGTGCAAGCGGCTCACCTTGTTTCCACCCTCAGATTCTCTGATTGAGAGGCCCAAATGTGGTCACTCTTCTCAGCCGCCAGTCTTCTCCCTCCCCAGCCCCAGACCTGAAAGTTTATCTTACTTTGCATACTTTCTCCCCTGAGTCTCCTGTAACTTCACTCATTATCACAACCTTGGTACAGAAGGTCCTTTTTCACTTCATTTTAACTTGGATCCCAAAATGTTGCACTTCTTCCTCAGAATTCATGTCTTTCCTCTCAAATAAATGCTTTCTTGCTAGCACTGTTCTGCCTTTCCTTAAGGTAGAGACACTTTTTGTTTTTCCTTCTTTTTTTTTAAGATTTTATTTATTTCTTTATGAGAGACACACACACAGAGAGAGGCAGAGACACAGGCAAAGGGAGAAGCAGGCCCCTCGCAGGGAGCCCGATGTGGGACTCGATCCTGGGACCCCAGAATCATGCTTGGGCCAAAGGCAGACGCTAAACTGCTTTGCCACCCAGGGATTTCCCCCTTTGCTTTTCCTTCTTATCTTTTCCTTTTTTGGTTGAGTAGCATCTTTGTACAGTTAGCTGTGTTTTGTCAAGTAATTCCTGGACTTTCCCAACTTAAAACAAGTAAGAGAAAATTAAGGTGCACTCTTCTGGGTAACCATGATTTCTGGAGTTGCCAGGAATCTCTGAGATATATTTCATTTATTTCAATCTATATCATCTGGCACAGTTAGTAGGCTGCATTATCTGGCGCCCCCAGATAATTAGAAGGTACAAGCATATATCACTCTTCCAAGATGGTCTCTGGGGTTTTGCTATTTAAAAAGCCCATTGTTGGGGCCCCTGGGTGGCTCAGTCGGTTAAGCATCTGCCTTTGGTTCAGGTATGATCCTGGGGTCCTGGGATTGAGCCTTGCATTGGGCTCCTTGCTCAGCAAGGAGCCTCCTTCTCCCTCTCCTCCCTGCTCATGCTCTCTCCATTATCTCTATCTCTTTCTCTCAAAGAAGTAAATAAATGATCTTTACAAAATAAAAATAAAATAAATAAAAAGCCATTTGTTTTCCACCATTTTCATATAGAAACTCTGGTTTTACCCTAATCTCTCGCCATCATAAGCAAGGGATTTTGCAAATCTTTGTTATATTTACTTTTTTATTGTACTACACTAGCTTTGTAGTAGTAGTCAGAGAGGAGACTGAAATATGAGAAAATGACTAAAGAAGCTGAAGATTTCAGACAAGCTGGATTCAAATTTGTGTCACATTGATTTTATTCATGAATTGTAACATCTCTTTGAAAATAACATCCATTTTTATTTTATCTTTTTTTCCCAGATGCTCTTTTATTAAAATACTCTAAAAAATCAGAATTATGGACAGCCCAAGAAACTATTGTATATTTGGGGGACTACCTGAATGTGAAGAAGAAAGGCAGACAAAGAAATGCTTTTTGGGTTCATCATCTTCATCAAGAAGAAACTCTGGGGAGGTATTTCTTTAAAACATCTATACCACTAATGTAAAAGGGGCTACTTATGCCTTTTTGCTAATTAATCATTTATGAGATTTTGAAAGGGCTGGAAAAGTTGTCCACATTGTATATTTTCAGATTCCTACTTCCTCCTCCTCCTCATTAATTAATAGCAAGTTGCCACACACTGACCAACATTATTCAGCCATTTTACATAGACGTTCATGATGTCAAACCTCTCAGGGAGACATTGTTACTCTCATTGTAAAGATAAGAAAAATGGAGTTTCTGACCATATGGCAGAACAGAGAGCCTCAAACACTCCCACTAAAAATGCTGGCAAGAAGTCTAGTTCAACTATGGAAACCATTTATACGTAAATAAATGAGCCTGCAAAAAAGGTAGGAAAATCCTTTGAGGCTAGGGATGAAGACTATCCAGGGATATGGGTGCATAAGCCCTTACGACATCACTGTAGAAGTTTTGAGTGGGGTGGGATGAGATGGCATTGACATCTGTAATATGAAGTTACACATGTAAGGGAGTGAGTTTAGAGACTATCCAGATAAAGCAGGGATGCAGGAATGGCTACATACTGAAGGAAAAAGCTATCTTAAAACAAACAAACAAACAAGCAAACAAACAGGGATTCCTGGGTGGCTCAGCGGTTTAGCACTGCCTTCAGCCCAGGGCGTAATCCTGGAGTCCTGGGATGGAGTCCCATATGTTTCTGCCTCTCTCTCTCTCTGTCTCTCATGAATATATAAAGAAAATCTTAAAAAAAAAAAAAGCACAACACCTCTGGGTGCCTGGGTGGCTCAGTTGATTAAGTGTCTGACTCTTGATTTTGGCTCAGGTCATGCTCTCAGAGTTGTGAGATCAAGCCCTGCATCAGTCTTCCCATTCAAGAGGGAGTCTGCTTGAGATTTTTCTCTCCCTCTGCCCCTCCACCTGCCTGCACTCTCTCTCACTATCAAATAAATAAATAAATCTTTAAAAAAAATTCTAAAAACACCCCACTGAGGTAAACACTTGAAAAATTTTTTGTTTGGCCTTAGTTCTTGATGACAACTTCAAGCAAAAGCTCACATGAAAAGGTTAGTCACCTCAGGTGGTCCCCATTGTGTTTGAGGCCTAATTTTACATCATCTGTGTATTTAAAAAGATCTGTAAAGCCAGAATTTTAAGGTGGACCCTGTTATTTATCCAAATCTAAATAATGTAAGAAATAAATAGGAAGAGAGGGAATGAGAGACAGTGAGAAATTGGGTGATTTTTAAATAGTGGAAGTTTATTTCTTGAAAAGGTTGTTGATGATGATAATAATAATTGAAACATGTAAATATAGTTACCAAGTATTTAAGTGCCAAGCCTTATTTTATTTATTTTTATTTTTATTTTTTAAAATATTTTATTTATTTATTCATGAGAGACACACTGAGAGAGAAAGAGGCACAGAGACACCGGCATAGAGAGAAGCAGGCTCCATGCAGGGAGCCTGATGTGGGACTCGATCCCGGGTCTCCAGGATCATGCCCTGGACCAAAGGCAGCGCTAAACTATGCTGAGCCGCTCGGGCTGCCCATAATTTATATACTAGTTTAATTAATCATCACAAAACACTATAAGATAAATATTATTATCCCCACTGTACAGAAGAGGGAACTGAGGCACAAAGATGTTAAGTTACTTGCCCCATATCACACATCCAGGTGATGAAGCCATGTGTTATGGATTGAATGATTTTTCTAAGATTTTATTTTTTAGAGAGAGAGAACACGAGCAGGGGTAGAGGCAGAGAGAGAAGCAGGCTCCCCACTGAGCAGGGAGCCCAATGTGGGGCTCAATCCCAGGACTCTGAGATCATGACTTAAGCTGAAGGCAGACATCCAACCAACTGAGCCACCCAGGGACCCGAAATGATTTTTTAACAGTTCTGTACTGTAGTCTCAAATTCATATGTTGAAGTCCTACCCCCTAGTACTCAGAGTGTGATCTTATTGAAATAGAGTCATTGCAGATATCATTAGTTAAGATGAGGTCATGCTTGAGTTAGGTGGGCCCCTCATCCACTATGACTGGTGTTCTTATAAAAGGAGATTTGGAGATAGACATGCACAAGGAGAAGGCATGTAACATTGTAGTTGTGTTGCCACAAGGCAGGAACCAACAAAAGCCAGGAGAGAGGATTGGAAAACATCCTTCCCTAGTGGCTTCAGATGGAACATGACCCTGCTGACATTTTGACCTTGAATTTCTATGCTCCAGAACTGTGAGGGAATCAGTTTCTTTTGTTTATCACTCAATTTATGGCACTTGGTTATAGCAGCCCTAAGAAACTAATACAGCAGGATGCATCATAGGAGGAGCTGAGTTGGAAAATTAAAGCGAGCATAAGAAATGTGGAAGATGGATTGAGAGGGTCCAACGTATGTCTGATCAGAGCAAATAAAGAAGAATTACTATTTGAATAGATAGTATGTGATAATTTCCCAAAATTGTCAAAACACATTAATCTTCGAGTACAGGAATCACAGTGAATCCTAAATAGGATAGAGAAGGAAGGAAGGAAGAAACTAGCAAGGAAGGAGGAAAGAAAAGAAAAGAGGGCAGGCAATCAAAAATCCACTTCTAGCTACATAGTAATAAAACTTCAGAACACCAAGGATAAAGAAATAATCTTAAAAGCTGTCAAAGAAAAAAGAGTTTACAAGTAACAAATCCTTACTAAAGAAAATGATCCCCACAAAATGGCATAAGATGCCAGAAATAATGAGCCTCTGTTCCCAGATTAATGATCCTGTACCTAGCCCTGGAGGTCCTCTGATAGAATATTTGGGAAGTGCTCCAGTACCGGGGTTTGCTCAGAGTTCTGAACTGATTCAAAGCTATTGCAGGCCCAGGGTCTGCCCGTAGTAGAAATGCTTGCAGCACAGGACCCCCATTGTGACAACTGCTCCTCTACTGGCTGCTTTCGGATGCCATAGAGGTTCCTCCTCTGTCAGATTTCCTTTTTTTATTTTTTTAAAGATTTTATTTTATTTATTTACTTATTGTTTGTTTGTTTGTTTGTTTTCTAGAGAGATAGCTCAAGCAGGGAGAGGGGGAGAGAGAGAGAGAGAGAATCTCAGACAGACTCTGCACTGAGTGCAGAGCCCATCACTGGCCTCAATCTCATGACCCTGAGATCAAGACCTGAGCCAAAACCAAGAGCTGGACATTCTGGAGAGAGTTTTCTCTAGTTGAAGTCTACAACTAACAATTCTCTTTGATTTTTGGAGGTCGGTCTAGACACATGCAAATTCCTTGTAAATTGACACTAGCTTACAGCAAAATATAAACTATGGTAAGGTGTGACAGTTACTGTTTTGCTCCTTTCAGCACCTAATCATTGACTGCTTCATATCTTGTTTCCAGCTATGCATTAGTCCTTGAAATATACAAATATTTCACACTTCCTTTAAAACACTCAGGACGGGCACAGTGCTACACACCTAATAGGTGATGATGGAAACAAGTATTTGTAACGATGAAGTAATCAGATAAGGAAAGGATAAAGGAAGGCTTCAGATTGATTAATTGACCTGTGTATGGCCACATTGCAGGTAGTAAAAGACCTGGTTGCAGAGTCTGCACTTTCCAGGGTCCATCCTGGCTCTCTTGGCTTACCAAGGAAGTCTGGCAAACTGCTACAGTATGTGGACACTCTCTCTATAATCAGTATCATCCTTAGTCAGTGTATCAGACAGTACTCTTCAGAAAAAAAGAACCAAGAAGATGTATATACATATAGACAGAGAGGTATTGTCAGGAATTGGTTTGCATGGATAGAGGCCAGAAAATCTCAAGATCTACAGCTGGCAAGCTGGAGACCCAGGAGAGCTATTGGTATAGTTTCAGGACAAGGGCCAGCAGGCTCAAGACGCAGGAAGAACTGATGTTTCAGTTCAAGTCCAAAAGTAGGAAAAGACCAGTGTCCCAGCTCAAAGGCAGTTTAGCAAGAGGAATTCTCTCTAATTTGGGAGAAGGTCAGTCTTTTTGTTCTACTTTTGTCCTTCAACTGATTGGATTAAGCCCACTCAAATTAGGGAGGGCGACCTGCTTTACTCAGTCTATTGATTTAAATGTGAAATCCATCCAAAAACAACCTTACAAAAACATGCAGAATAATGGTTGATCAAATATTTGGGCACGCTGTAGTCAAGATGGCACATACAATTAACCATCACAGTCAGCCAACATGAATTATGTTCTGTTGTTCAGGAGGGCCTTACGAAATTATTTGAGTCATGAGATAAATCAGGATAACGAATATTGACTGTCTAAGGTAGAGAAAGAGTAACATCTTTCAAGCATTTTTGCATATCTCCTCTGGTCTCCACTCTCATTACTCTGTGATAAGATCACTTTTGCATTTCTTTTGTGTGTTTTTTTTTTTCCTCTGATCATAGATATGTTGGGAAAGAATATAAGGAGCAGAAGGGACTCTGGCACCACTTCACTGATGTGGAACGGCAAATGACCGCCCAGCACTATGTGACAGAATTTAACAAGAGACTTTATGAACAAAATATTCCAACACAGATATTCTATATCCCATCCACGGTATTGCTGGTAAGATTGAAGAGAGCTAGGGTTTGGTTAAGTGGGCCTCTAAGTATATATTAGGTTAGATTTTTGGTAAAATCCAATAAACTTGGGATGCCTGGGTGGCTCAATGGTTGAGCACCTGCCTTTGGCTCAGGGCGTGATGGGTCCTGGAATTGAGTCCCGCATCAAGCTCCCCGCAGGGAGCCTGCTTCTCCTGCTGCCTATGTTCTGCCTCTCTTTCTGTGTCTCTCATGAATAAATAAATAAAATCTTTTTTAAAAATCCAATAAACTCAGTTACCAAAATCCTTCACCTACTTCATCTGCTTCATCTACTTCGAGAAATATGTAAGAACCATGACCTTCTACACCCTGAATACATCATTTGGATCTTCCAAGTCACTCTTTTAATTCTGGTATCTGGTCCCACATGGTCAAGTTAGCGATTTTAGCGTCCTTTCTCTGTGTATTGTCTGTACTTTCAAAGAGAGAAGAAGGACCCTAAAGATTTTATGAAGTGCAAATTATCCCAACATGATGCATGAATTCCCTGTTTTACATCTGTTAGTCCCTATCCCTGGCAACCAAGTAATTACTAAGTAATTACTTTAGCTTAAACACTTTTATGTAGAAAAAATAATTATTCCCTTTTCCCTTTCAATTAATTCCAATTGTTAGGAAGTTCTTAGATTTAGCCCAAATCTCTCTTCCTCTGATTTCTACCTATGAATTACAGCTCCGCCTTCTGGGGTCATTGAGACCAATCTGTTTTTAACTATATAAAAGCAAATATCCATCTCCACAGACTTTTCTCTTTTTTGGATTAAGAATACCCTGCCTCCCAAATAGATTGGATCCTTAGCTCATTCACACATAAAAGATACATATTATTTTACTTTGGACAAAGACATTTTTAGACTCATATTTTATTATTTCCAATAATAGCCATCATTCACTTTCTTTGTGTCAAGCACTATACCAGGCATTTAGCACATTAACTCTAACCTTTGAAACAACTCTGCAAAATAGATCATACACACAAATGCTTGAGATGATATTCCAGCCCAGCATTCCAATGCATGATCTATCTACATGTCCTGACGAGCTAGCTCCCTAGGGTAGGTCACTTCATGGCCTCATTTTTAAGTGAGCATTTTAATAAAAGAATAATAATAATTTTAGGTTCTATTATATGCCACATAAAGTGTTAAGCACTTTACACGGATTTTTCTAATTTAATTCTTTTAACAATGGTATAAGGTAGCTGTTATTTTAATACCTGCTTTACAAATGAGCAAACCAAAATCTCCAGAAGCAAACCAAAAGCTCCCAAGTGGCAAAGTGAGGTCTACCCAACCCCAAAGCCAGAGGCTTTCGTAGCCATAATGGTACATTGTCTTCCGTTTCTATTTTTCAGATTTTGGAAGGCAAGACAATAAAGGGATGTATCAGTGTGGAACCTTACATACTGGGGGAATTTGTAAAATTATCGAATAACACAAAAGTGGTTAAAACAGAATACAAAGCCACAGAGTATGGCTTGGCTTATGGCCATTTTTCCTACGAGTTTTCTAATCATAGAGATGTTGTAGTCGATTTACAAGGTATGTGAAATTAAGACTTATTTTTTTATGTTAATGCTATTCATATTAAATGTGAGGTCTTGTAACTAGCTCTTTCCAGTCATTATATAATAGACTGTTCAATGCCTAGACTACTATTTGTAATTAAATTAATTGATTTTACTGTATGTAGCAAATGATGTCTGGAAAAAAAGCTTCTGCAAGTGTCTACAGGGTCACATAATCAGTAAGAAAACCTGGCTCATATTCTACTGAGCTTAATTCTAGAGCAAATCATGGGGGACCCTGGGTGGCTCAGCGGTTTAGCGTCTGTCTTTGGCCCAGGGCGTGATCTGGAGTGTTGGGATCAAGTCCCACATCAGGCTTCCTCCATGGAACCTGCTTCTCCCTCTGCCTGTGTGTGTGTGTCCCTCTGTCTCTTATGAATAAATAAATAAAATCTTTAAAAATAAATTCTAGTGCAAATCCAGTGACTTTTTAAAATTTCACCTGTGTGTTTGAGTAATGTAGGTTTTTTAATATTGCTTGTTTTGATATGTGAAAATCTTTCCACCCTTTCTTTTCTTCAATGCTTTACCTTTATTACAAGTGTGATATTCATTATAGAATAGAAAATTGTGTGTACTTAAATCTGACTTTTAAATTTTTTTTGCATTTATATTTTAATTTTATTTCAGTTCATCTAGTGTTTTATTTCTCAGAATTATTAGCCGATACTCTTCACTTCATTTAAATGATAAATGAGGTTTATTATCATTATTTTTAGTAATGATACTATGACCATCCCCCAAGATCTTCTCTATCCCCTTCCATAGCATTTATCATCACTCTCTGTTGTATTATATAGTTTGCTTACCTATATAGCTTATTAATCTGTCCCACTTTACTAGAATGTTAGCTCAGTAAGTATAGTGATTTTTTTACTCACTTGTTCATTGTTAAATCCTCAATACTCAAAACAGTGTATGTATGCTCAGTAAATATTTGTTAAACAGATGAACTAATGAGTTAGGCACTAAAGCAACTTATGAATCATGAAAGAAATATTTGATATATTGTGACTTTAGTAATTAAACCAAGTGCATTTTATTGCTCTCTAATTCCTTGAAAATTGGTGGTCTAGGTATGTCATATTTGACAAATTTAATTACCTAATATTCAGTTTCCCTTCTTAAACCAAAAATTGGAATATGCAAGACAAATCCCTTAACAGAAACTTACAAACATTAACCTCAATATGACTGAGTTATTAAAGTACCTCTTTAAGTATATACATTTTCATTTTTCTGAACTACTTCACTGACATTTATAGAGGATTTAATTCTCAGACATGTTTATTTCTCTTTTAGGCTGGGTGACTGGTAATGGAAAAGGGGTCATCTATCTGACAGATCCCCAGATTCACTCTGTCGATCAGAATGATGTCTCTACCAATTTTGGAAAGAAAGGAATATTTTACTTTTTTAAGCACCAGCACGTGGAATGTAATGAAATATGCCATCGTCTTTCTCTGACAAGACCTCCAGTTGAGAAACCAAATAAATCATAGATTATGTGGCATGGTAATGGGATGAGCTTGGCGCTCCTCACCAGTGTCAAGTCCTCCTCTCCTTGCAGGCACACACGGTATGGCATAGCCTGGTCTCCTTGGGCATAGTCAGGGCCTTGGACTACTTCTGGCTAATAATTTGTGAGATGAATGTGTATCAACTTCAGGCCCATTTAATTGCCAGTGCATGGACTCCTGGATAGCTCAGCGGTTGAGCATCTGCCTTTGGCTCAGGGCATGATCCTGGAGTTCCGGGATCGAGTCCCACATCAGGCTTCCTGCATGGAGCCTGCTTCTCCCTCTGCCTATGTCTCTGCCTCTCTCTCTCTCTGTGTCACTCATGAATAAATAAATAGAATCTCTAAAGAAAAAAATAATTGTGAGTGCAAGATGCTGTGGAGTTGCTTTCATCCTGCCACAATTGCCAAGAATATATGAGGATATAGCTGCTTATCAGTGTAAGTCCTGCAGTGAGGGCAACATGGTAGAGGCCTCCACTGACCCATCATGGACACAAAACAGATAAGAAATAAACTCTTATGGCTTAAGCCATTGAGATTTGGAGGTTTTCTTCACTATCAGCACTGATACTATGAGTGTTTTCTTACTCATTCAGGAGTTCTCTGTATGTATAAAAGAATTCAGGATATTGTGATACGAATTTCAGTTTTCTTCTGTTTGTCTTCTGACATGTGACTTCGTATGAAACTTTTTTTCCATGCAGTTTTTATTTTATACAGTTGAATTCATTAGTCTTTTATTTTATGGCTTCTAGGTTATATGTTGTACATAAATCCTCCCTGCCATGGGTTTTCTTTATTCTTAATCCTACCATATTTTCTTCTAGTACATTTGCATTTGGAAAAGTTACAAGGGAAGAATGGTATATTTTAACAGCCATGATAGTCCACTCCTTGCATCACACAGCTCTGTTTCTTCACAAAGATTTGGGGAGCAGCTCATCCATGATCTTGCTAAAAGAAACTTACAGAAATGGTATTGGTGAGGTATTCCCTTACTGAGGTTAGTTTTTAGGAATGCAATTGGGGCGGACGCAGTTGCGTGAGGGGATTTCGCCTTCCGCCGTGCCGTGGAGCAGAGCTTGTTCCTCTCCCGTTCAGCCGCGCAGGTTGAATTGACCAAAGCAATGGTTATGGAGAAGCCTAGTCCCCTGCTGGTCAGGCCGGAATTTGTGAGACAGTATTATATGCTCCTGAACCAGGCCCCAGACATGCTACACAGATTTTATGGAAAGAACTCTTCTTATGTCCATGGGGGATTGGATTCAAATGGAAAGCCAGCAGATGCAGTCTATGGACAGAAAGAGATCCATAGGAAAGTGATGTCACAAAACTTTACCAATTGCCACACTAAGATTCGCCATGTTGATGCTCATGCCACTCTGAATGATGGTGTGGTGGTCCAGGTGATGGGGTTGCTCTCTAATAACAACCAGGCTTTGAGGAGATTCATGCAGACATTTGTTCTTGCTCCTGAGGGCTCTGTTGCGAATAAGTTCTACGTTCACAATGATATCTTCAGATACCAAGATGAGGTCTTTGGTGGCTTTGTCACTGAGCCTCAGGAGGAATCTGAGGAAGAGGTAGAGGAACCTGAAGAAAGACAGCAGACACCTGAGGTGGTACCTGATGATTCTGGAACTTTCTATGATCAGAGTGTCAGCAATGACTTGGAAGAACATTTAGAGGAACCTGTTGCTGAACCAGAACCTGATCCTGAACCAGAACCAGAGCAAGAACCTGTGTCTGAGATCCAAGAGGAAAAGTCTGAGCCAGTATTGGAAGAAACTGCTCCTGAGGATACTCAGAAGAGTTCTTCTCCAGCACCTTCGGACATAGCTCAGACAGTACAGGAAGACTTGAGGACATTTTCTTGGGCATCTGTGACCAGTAAGAACCTTCCACCCAGTGGAGCTGTTCCAGTTACTGGGATACCATGTTGTTAAAGTACCAGCTTCACAGCCTCGCCCGGAATCTAAACCTGAATCTCAGATTCCACCGCAGAGGCCTCAGAGGGATCAAAGAGTGCGAGAATAGCGGATAAATATTCCTCCCCAGAGGGGACCCAGACCAATCCGTGAGGCTGGTGAGCAAGGTGACGTTGAGCCCCGAAGAATTGTGAGACACCCTGATAGTCACCAACTTTTTATTGGCAATCTACCACATGAAGTGGACAAATCGGAGCTTAAAGATTGTTTTCAAAGTTATGGGAATGTGGTGGAGCTACGCATTAACAGTGGCGGGAAATTACCCAATTTTGGTTTTGTTGTGTTTGATGATTCTGAGCCTGTTCAAAAGGTCCTTAGCAACAGGCCCATCATGTTCAGAGGTGAGGTCCGCCTGAATGGAAGAGAAGAAGACTCGAGCTGCCCGCGAAGGGGACCGTCGAGATAACCGCCTGCGGGAACCAGGAGGCCCTCGAGGTGGGCTGGGTGGTGGAATGCGAGGCCCTCCCCGGAGGCATGGTGCAGAAACCCGGATTTGGAGTGGGAAGGGGAATCGCTCCAAGGCAGTGAATTGCTCTTCATTGATCTTCACACAGCTCCTGAAGAATGGTGAATTTCTTACACCAGCGTTTGGTATCCTGGAGTTTGACCCTAGTCTATGATAAACTGCTTAAGTTTGTACAATTTTACTTTTTGTGTTAATGATGTGTGCTCCCTCTCCCGCCCTTCCCTCTCCTCACCTTTTAGTCCTTCACTTCCAATTATGTGGAATGATATTTTAGGAAAAACAGATTTTTAAAGAAGAGAAAAAGACTGAATTTCCTTGCTTTACTTTTGCATATACAGACTGGATTTTTTTTTTTTTTTAACAGCCGTTTCCCCAAAGGAATGTGTCTTGCTTATTACTGACATTTGGTATTTTTCATTCATTGGAATATTTCTTATTTTCTATGTGTTGCAAAAGCCTGTGATAAACACAGGATTTGGTAAACATTTGAAGGCAGGAAAAATCCAAATTGTTTGTTCTTTGAGAGTCATGACTACCTTCTGGTGTGTAGAAATTGCCATTGGAAAAATTGATAGTTCTGATTCTTGCTGGTATGGTAAAAAACTGAATAAAAGGTATTAGTAGAGTTTTTTTTTCTTTTGATATGTGATCACCAAACAATTACAAACTTACTGTTTTTACCATTTAAATTGTGAGATAGGTTTTAAATGTCTAGAATGCAACTGATTGAGATTTCTTTTGAAGTAGAGTTTTTTCATGTTTAATTTGTATTTGTAAAAAAAAAAAAAAAAAAAAACACAAAAACACAAAAAGCCCAAAAAACAAAAAAGAAACCCCAAAATCCAAGTAACATAAAACCAGAGCAAAACTGTTGTGCCTTCTATTTATCTTTGATTCCAGCCTTGGCAGTTAAAGGAAAAAAACAAAGTCTAGATTTGTTTTACCAGGTGTAGAATATGTTGGGATTGAAGAATCCCTCTTTTCACCTAGTATGTCTTCTGTTCATTTGTTACATCTTATTCTTAAAATTGAGTCTCAAACTGGAATGCCTTTAAGGACAGATATGCTTCTATGGAGGTCCTTTGACCTAAATAGTCCAGCATTTGTATTTTTATTTCAAAATCTGTTCAGAATCCTAATCATAGCCCCATACAAAGGAATATAACTTTATTATTGGACTTTGTGCTGTAGTGTCTGCCCGTTTTTTTTTTTCTTTAAATCATAGCCATATGGTAAATTTTCTATTTTGTTATGGTTCTCTTTTATTGATGGGCATGCAGTGGGTGTTTCTTGGAAATGGCCAATTTTTATTAAAATATTTCTGGAAGAAAATTTAAAAAAAAAGGAATGCAATTGGTGTTCACTCTCCCTCTACTATTAATTACTTAATTTCCCTCATTCTTTTTTTTAAAAAAGATTTTATTTATTTATTCATGAGAGAGGGAGAGGCAGGACACAGACAGAGGGAGAAGCAGGCTCCATGCAGGGAGCCCAATGCAGGACTTCATCCCAGGACCCCAAGATCACACCCTGGACCAAAGGCAGGGGCTAAACCACTGAGCCACCCAGGGATCCCAATTTCCCTCATTCTTAAGTATTACTTCAGCAAGTCTTAGTGGCTTACCTGGTGGTATGACTCAGACCTACAGACATGAGGTTTCTGTCTACTTGATAGTTAGAGCTTTCTCTAACTGGAGTTTGGAGTTACTGTACAAGTCTGTCCACAATTGCATTTGGGGCAAGTGAGAACCTTTATGGAGCTCCTCCTGGGGGGTGGGGAGTGTAGTTGACTGATACACCAGCTTCCACCCTTCTGGATCCACTACTGTGTTCAAACGAAGTCATGCTCCCCGGGGTGCTCTCAGCCAGTGACTCAGCAAGGCCAGGAAACCAGGCTAAGAATATTCTGAACAGGCGACCATCCACACAGTCTTCCCGGTGGTCTGATCACAGCCTTCTTAATGCTGTGCTGTCATCTGAGACTCTTCCTGCCCAGTCCTCCTTTGCCCTCTCCTTTCACAGGTACCACACCTGCATACCCCTGTTCCCACCACATAGCCTTTAGAGTCATTTCTCCCAATAAATATCTTATTTGTCTAGTATCTTTTTGGTATCTGCTTCCGGAACAACCCAAACCAACACAAGTTTATTAAAGAAATGGAAAAAAACTTCATCCTGATAACAAATTAAAAAAGGAAAATCATACCATCTCAAAAGATGCAAGAAAGGTCATTTAATAAAATGAAAATCAATTCTTGGTGAAAAGCTCTTTGCAAACTAAGCATAAAGGAAAGCTTTCTAAATCTGATAATGGGACTTTTTTAGTTCTTTTAAAGCAATAATATAATTAACAGTGAAACATTTAACTTTTTACATTTGAGAAAAGGAACAAAACACATTTGCTCACTATCCAAACTCTAGTCAACATTTGTGAAAAAATTAAAAATATGTATATTGGTGTCTGACCCTGGTTTCTGGCACAGAGCTCCTAAATGCCTTGTAATTCCCTAAGTGATAGGAGCACTAGGAGCATTTCTTGTTCTAATATTTGGTCTCTGACTCCAGTCCTAACAGAGAGCTCCTAAACCCCTTGAAATTTCCTGAGTAATAAGAGTATCTTTTGTTTTCGCGAGGCAACTCTTGATGAGCTCCTAGATAACTTCTGGATAAGGACTGGTCACCAGAAAGACCAAGCGATGATTAGAAACTTAAAACTTCCAACTTCAACTCCCATTCTCCTACAAGTGGAGAGGGACTAGCAATTGAGTTAATAATTAATCATGCTTACATGCTGAAGCCCCCGTAAAAAATCCCTGAAGTACCAGTTTGGGAGAGCTGCCAGGGTGCTGACCTACCTGGAGGTCCTGGGAAGGCATTGCTGCTGCAGAGGGAAGGGAAGCCCTATGGCATTACCACCCCCTACACCCTGCCCAACACATCTCTTCCACCTGAGGTTCATCTATATCTTTCCTCATATCCTCCTATAATAATCCAGTGAATAACTGTTTCCCTGAGTTCTGCGAGTCAGTCTAGC